ACTGACCGCTCTGACAGGGATCACAATAGAGGGTTCCGGACAAAGCAAGAGACAAATGTAGAACAAAATTCAAATTCACAGAAAAGACCAGACTTACTGGTCTGACAGAGATTGGAGGAAACTCTGAGACTATGGCCCCCAACACCCTTCTAACTCAGAACTGAAGATACTTCCTAATTTCGCTTTCAGCCACAGACAGGCCTATAAAACAAAAAATAACACAGGTGAGGAACGTGCTTCTTAGATCAATCAAGTATACGAGACCAAATGGGCAACACCTGCCCAAAAGCAAAGACGAGAAGGCAGGAAGGGACAGGAAAATTGGACAAATGGACAAGGGGAATCTGGGGTGGAAAGGCGGAAAGTGCGGACACATTGCAGCGACTGTAACCAATGTCACTAAAAGATTTATGTATACATTTTTGAATGCGAAACCAATTTGCTCTGTAAACTTCTACCTACAGCACAATTTAAAAAAAAAAAAAAACATGCTATGGAGCAGTTCTACTCTGAACGCACAGAGGTGCCATGAGTTGGAATCAACTTGACAGCAAGGAACAACAACATTGCAGTCATTATTGTTACGAAGTCCTATTTTTATGAAACTCACCCCAAAATGCACAAAGCATTCCTCACATTGTAATAAAAAATGGAAGCTATGGAGGAACAGGGTCTCATAATAACACAGGAAGAAGCCCAGGATACTGACCTTCCAGCCCTGAAAGCCACCCCATCATCAGTTCCCGTGCCTTATTTGGTTTTAGCATCATCAGCCACATCAAAGCTAGAAGGCTGCCCACACCACTTCTTTGAAGGCCCAAGATTTACAGGTCGATAAACCAATAAATTAGGTTGAAATTAACTGTGGCTCATTTTAAACTGAGGGAAATTGATTTCTGTACCTACGTGGCTGGACTAAATATGCCACTTGCCAGTGAATTCTGGTACTCCTTGAGAATGCACAAGAAGGCCCTGTGTATATCAAGAGACTGCTTCACACCTCTGCAGCCCAGAGAAATTTTTTTTTTTTTTTTTTTTTTTACCAGTTGCCATTGAGTTAATTTTGACTCATGGTGGCCCATGTGTGTCAGAAGAGAACTGTGCTCCATAAGGTTTTCAATGGCTGATTTTTCAGAAGTAGATCACCAGGCCTTTCTTCCAAGGCACCACCAGGTGGACTCGAATCTCCAACCTTTCAGTTAGTAGTAGCTGGGCACTTTAACCATTTCCACCACCCAGGGACTCCTCTGGAGAAATACTGATCTCCAAATATTCAAATCAAGACGGTCTTCCCTTTACTTTCCATCACGACCAAATATAATAGAAGAAAGGTCAATATGATAGCTCAGCTTTAATACATTTCTATGTAGTCAGCTCTCAATCATACGTATGTGAATTATTGTTAAAAATTCTAAACTCCACACTGGCTTTCCCCAAGCACATTTATGCCAGCCAGCTCCCATATCTGCTGGCTTCTGCTCAAAGAATGCAAACTCATTTTAATATTGGCCTAAACAGCATTTAATTAGAAAGCTAAACTCATGCTTAAAAAAAAAAAAGAATAAATAAATACATAGCAAAGGTACATCCATTATTTTTTGGACTATCTGCTCTCCAGATTATTAGAATGTCCCTGTGTCCTCTCATTACAGTGGACCACAAGGCTGGCTTCATCTGTCTCTGCCCTGGGGTTCAACAAGGACAGCACAAAGATGGCTGTCATCTCAAAAGAGGAACAGACCACAATCTGACAATAAAATGTCCCCACGACATATACCTTTTGCTTTGGGATGTTAGCTGCTATTAGGATCTGTCTCTGGATTCCAAGTCTCAAAGCAATTTATTAAGCATACTGTTAACTTCATTTTACAGCATATAAAGAGAAATGTTCTTCAAAAGAACACAAGTTAAAATCAAGATCCATGATCCCTATATTCTGGTATTCTCACAAACTTAATTTCTACATCTCCAGAAAACTGCTCTCCAGCAGCCTTTCGATTATAAGTCCGCTATCCTGGCCCTCAGGAGCCCTCGAAATGAAATGAGAACAAGTTTTCTTTCACCTGGCCTTAGGATAAGAGTAACACTCTATTTCATATATGACACTTCAGGTAACTCCCTGACTATTCACAGTCATAAGACCATAAATACATTACAGAACTAAAGTTCATCTCATTATCTGTACAAGGTCTACAGATAACAACAAAAAAAAAAAAAAAAAAAAACTGCTACCATCAAGTTGGTTCCAACGCACAGCGATTCCAGAGGACAGAGTAGAATTGACCCATAGGGTTGGATCTGAACTGCCGACTTTTTGGTTAGCAGTCATATCACTTAACCACTGTGCCACCAGGGCTCCACAGATAAATTCAAGTTTCAAATTTTACATTGTATATACATACACACGTTGTATATGCATAGACTATGTCTAAAAGGATATACAAAAAACTAATGACAGTGGTTGCCAAGTGGGAAGGAGCACTGGGTGAACGGGGGAAATGAGAGGCAGGGTGGTGTAAATGGTTCACATGCTCAGCAGCTAACAGAAACGTTAGCAGTTTGAATCCACCCAGTGGCACCACAGAAGAAAGGCCTAGCAATCTACTTCTGAAATATCAGCCATCGTAAAACCCTACAGAGCACAGTTCTACTCTGACACACACCGGGACACCATGAGTTGGAGTCAACTAGACAGCAACTGGTTATCATATATACGCTTTTGTACAAATTTTGTTTTGTAAACCTGTCTTACCTACAAAAAACTAAACAACTGGGCTGAATGGCTTTTCATTTCATCCTTTTAATTCTCCATCTCCTCATTCTTCTCACTGTCTCCTTTCCTTTCATTCCTTCTGCCTCTCAAAGCCTCCATCCTCCATCCCCCAAGACATGCGAGCTCCTAATGAACTAAATAGTGGCCAAAGACTGAGCATGGAACTGCACACAACAAGAAGAGATGCCAAGTGGAATCAGGAGGAGTTTTTCAAGGTCACTTCCCTTCTCAAGCCAACTCAACACTCCAAGCAACTCTTCACCAACAAAGAACCTGAAACAGCAAATGCTTTGCCTTCTCATCTTCTTCTGGAAGCACACAGGTCCCACATCCTAACTTCGGAATCAACCAGCCAATTCTTTCCCAAGCAAGTGTATCGTGCAAGCATCTACTAAACACAGATCAAAAGCTAAACAATATTCCACCCCAAAGGAGGCTCTTTGTCCCAGCGCCTCGTGCTGTAACAGACACTTTATTTTCAGTCTCAAATCAGACACTGAATACTCCCTGGCCTCTAAAAATGCAGGAATTATGAACAGAGAGTTTGTTGGAAGAAAAATAAACCTGTAAATCCTGTTAGGCTTTGTGCTACATTCCAAAGGATTTTTCCCCAAAACAGTATCATTAGCACAAGTCAGTATGACAGTCTTAAAAGGGAAGATTCTGCACAATAGAATCCCAATTCTTCATTCAATATAACTTCCAGGAGAGCACAGGAAAATCAGGGCTCCACCACCCACAAGCCATTCTATTTGCATCCTCACCACCAAGCCAACTAATTTTCACTATCCATTAGTGGGTTCACCACGGCCCTCCTATGTAAATATCTTTTATATAGCTTTAATGTTCTTCCTACCCTACAGGTCTTTCTTCTTCCAGGGGTGCAGTTGGTCCACAAATATTCATTAAGGGCCCTACCAAGTGCCAGAGAAACACAAGAGAAAGGCTTGATCCATGCCCTCAAGGAGCAAACAGGGAGATTAAGCAGTTAGACACAAGTAATTACAACCTAAGGCAGGAAGTGCTGTAACCCACTCAAAAGAACCCCTCCCCACCGAGTATGGGCATACCAGGAGGTTACCTTGGAACTGGAAGTTGAAAAACGGAACAGGTTTTCCAGGCAAGAACAGGAGTGACCGAAGACCATTTTAGATAAAGGAAAAATCAAGTGTAATGGCACAGAGGTATGGACCTGATGTGAAATCAGGAAGAAATTCAGTTTGGCAAATAGTAAGCAATCCCCCTTGCTGGACTTGGCCTTTTTTAGAAGACACTCAACTTCTAAACTTTGAACTTGGGCAGAAAAGTCTTGATACCTGATATCAATTATTTTCATCATGATTACCACATTTAATTATTACAAATATGCCTCTAAGCTATCACAGCAAAAATCTACCTCCCCCCCACATTAGAGAACCTGAGGACACATGCAGTCAAAACAACTTAAGTCTGGTTTACTCCATGAAAAGGCACTGGTGGTTCAGTGGTAGAAGTCTCACCTCCTACGTGGGGAGACGTGGGTTCAGTTCCCAGCCAATGCACTTCATGCACAGTCACCACCCGTCTGTCAGTGAAGGTTTGTGTGTTGCTATGATGCTAAACAGGTTTCAGAGGAGCTTTCAGACTAAGACGGACTAGAAAGCAAGCCCTGGTGATCTACGTTTGAAAATCAGCCACTGAAAACTTTATGGATCAAGATGACTGGGCAGCATTTTACTCCATAAGTTAACGAAGTGGGAAAAAGAACCAACAGAGGACAGGGCATGTTATCTCAGACACATGCATCTTCCTGCAAAAGCCTTCCTTTTCACTGTTGACATGTCATGGGCTTGTTAACCATTGTAACAGGGCAATATGTGTACTAACTGTTTAATGAGAAACTTTTGTTCTGTAAACCTTCAACTAAAGTACAAAAAAAAAAAAAGAATTATCTACGCGAGATCAAACTGACAACAGCAACTCAAAAGTTTTGACGGGAAGCCTAGGGGACAGTGAGTTGAAGACAATGGTGATGGAATAATTTGGAAAAGGATAGTGAGAATAGCAGCACAACTGGAAGAACGTAATCAATGTCACTGAATTGTACGTGTAGAAATTTTTGAAATGGTGTATCTTTGGCTATGTATAGTTTCACCAAAAAAAAAGTCCTCTAAGGTTGAGAAGGGAGAGTGTTGACATGTCATGGGGTTGTTAACCAATGTCATAAAACAATACATGTACTGACTGTTTAATAAGACACTATTTGTTCTGTAAACCTTCATCTAAAGTACAATAAAAAAAATTTTTTTTTTTTAAAAAGCCTTCCTTCTTCTGCTCTCTGCAGCTGGTGGCTTGCAAGTCATTTCTAGGGCTTCTTTGGTCAGACAGCTTTTGCTTCCAGCCCTAATACATGCTGCTAGGCATCCTCTTCACCTCACTCAAGGGGTGAGAGGGCAAGAAGCTGCAGAGTATCCAAGTCCACCCGAACCCTTATCATTCCATCTTCCCATGCCCTCCCCTATCATACAGCCCACTAACTACCCTAGAGTTGTGGCTGGTTTATTGATGCGAGTCTGCTACATTTTACATGCCTGTATCTGCTTTATCTCCTCCTCAAATTCTAAGTTTTCTGAAAGTATGGATGAAATCTTATCTCCCACCCCCATCCACACCCTCAACTCTGTACCGGACCACAGTCAATTCAAACAATATTGTTTAGGTTTAAAAGTTAAAAAGGGAGAGGGAATATAGAGCGGAGCTTGGCTTAGGGCTAAAAGTAGAATGACCCTACATTTTACAGCTGGCATCCTGATACTCTTGAGAACAAAGGGGGCGCTATTCACAACCAGCAGAGACAACGGATTAAACTAGGTTTGCCCCAGGGAAAACAGGCAAAGGGTCACCCTTGCTAGAGAGATCATTCCATGTAGATGTGAGTTACACGGGAGCTGCAAGAGGGGCGTCCAAGCCCCTTCAGTTCCTGTAGGTGCAGTCTGAGGGATCTGCACCAGACAGAGATTGTGACAGAAAGCCCAGTACCAGGAAGTTCTTCTTTCTATCTAACCAAACCCTCAGATATCCAAGTCAATCCCACTTTTTATTAGCCTCAGGGCAACAGAGAACAATGGCTCAGGAAGGCAACCAGGGAAATCGTCAGCTTGGGTAGGGATTCCTCATTAAGAGTTCGACTGCTAGTTCTTCTTTCACAACTGAACCAAACTCAATCTGGCTGGCCCAGAAACATAAACGCCGGGGTTTTTGGGGTCTCTCCCAATGAGAGCAGAGTTCATCTCTAACTTGCCCCAAATCCCCCGACGCTTTCACAAACCCAATCCAAGGTAGAAATGGCACCTGTGTACATACTCCTGAGACCAGGAAAATCTTCCCTCCGCCAATAGAAGAGCTGGGGGACCCTGAGCCCTGGGAGGGGGTTGTCTTCTACCACTCGCCACTCCCAGCCCCTAGCAAGCTGAGTCAAGCCCCCAGCCGCACTGGGCTGACTGCAAAGACTCAGGGAACAAGGGAACCTCTCTTCCTCTCTCCCCCACCCTCCATGAGCTGGTGTTCCTGTGGAGACCAAGGACCTTGCTGACTTCTTTTCAACAATACAAAAAAGAAGTTTCTGAGAGGGTACAGGGGCATCCGGGGGAAAGGGAACAAGGATCTGGGCTCAAGAGGGACCAGCAGTCCCTGCTGACCTGCACATTCTCAGGCCCTAGGGCTGATAGTGGAAGAAGTCAAATGCTCCCACACACTCCCACCACCCCTCCCCTTTTCTTAACCATATACATTTTACTTTAGAAAGGAGGTATTTCAGAAGCACTGCATAAAGACAGGGTGACTCTCTGATCACTCAAAGGTCACTGAGACTTCAGACAATGCACACAAAAACTGTTTCTACATCAACAAAATGACAGAACGGGATCAGGTGGTTTATAAGGTTCTTCCTGGCCCCAGGGTTTAACATATGACTCTATACATTTCCTGAAGAAATGGGTAAGGGAAAGCCAGTGAAGAGAAGCAGAGCTCAGCCCAGTCTTTTAATATCTACTTTGAACAATTTGACTCTAGGAAATGTCCCTGTTTTCCTCCCCCACTGACCTTCCAGTTTTGCTGATGTCTATCTCAACCTCAGGGCCAGGAGCCTCATGAGGCAATAAAACGGCCAAATTAATTTTGCTAATGCTGATACTAACCTCTAAACTCAGTTTGCAATACCTAGCAATAAGTCTGGCCATAAAAGTGAAATTCACATTACTTGGTGAAATTCTTGTTACCTATGAGCTAATAATAGGAGCCCTGGTGGTGCAGTCCTTAAAGCACTCGGCTGCTAAGCAAAAGGTCGGCAGTTCAAACCCACCAGCCACTCTGCAGGAGAAATATGTGGCAGCCTGCTCCTGTGAAGATTTACAGCTTTGGAAACCCTATCAGGTAGTTCTACTCTGTCCTACAGGGTCGCTATGAGTTGGAATCTACTGAATGGCAGTGGGTTTGGTTTGGTTATGAGCTAATAAACTCATTGCCTGGATGAAAATAAATCTCTTACTGAATAATTATGCCCCCCAAATTCTTGCAGTCTTTTCAATCAAATCCCCAAGTGCCATGGGGGATATTTCTGTCCAAAACAAAGTCCGTATCTTGAAGTGGGGAGGGGGAGGAATGGATAGAATCTCCCACCCCAAAACACACAGACACAAATTTAGCCCTTAAACCCCCGCCCCCGCCCCAACACACACACACACTCCTCTTGCTTTTACTATATACCAGGATAGCCGACAAGCTTTTAGGTTTGCCCACCTATTACTGCGGTTGGAAATGGTTAGTGTGGAAACCCCCTCCTCTTTCTGTTCTGTATAAGTGTACCGCAACTGCAGGGTGCTTGCTTCCACTGCCAACTGATGATACACTAAAGAAAGCCGTTTTTATCCAGATGTAAAATGAAGCTGCACTCCTCCCAAACCTGCCGGAAAGTAGACCGGTCTGCACACACCCAGGGGAAATATGCACTGCACCCCGCGAGTTACCTGGTATACGTTCGCTAAAATCGACAGGAAGAAGGTAAGATCAATGTAATTCAAATGCTGACGGTTGTACTCATGCGGCAGGAGAGAAAAAAAAAAACAAATGCAAGCCGGGAAGTCCCCAGTGGTGCCTGCACCTGGGAGGCGACTGCAAAGGATGGATGCGGGGGAGAGGAAGTGCAGGGTGAGGAAAAAGCTAGAGGAAGGCGGGTTGCAAAGCTGCTCACCTGTCCATACACCTTGATGGGTTCTGGCTGCAGGGCAGCGCTCCGTCTCCTCCGGAGCGGCTTCTCGTCAGTCCGGCTCGCCCCCCAGGCATCCCCGCGTGCCCACAGCCGCAGCTCCCGCGGGTCGCTCTGCACCACAAGGAAGCCCCGGTCCTGGGGCAAGGGCGCGCGGCCGCCGTGCAGTCTCGGCGTCCAGACCTCGCAGAGAGCCCCGGGCGGCAGCAGCGCGACCAGGGTGAAAAGGAAGGGGAGTCGCGACTCCCTCCTGCTGCTCCCTGTCGCCATGTTCCGGCGAACGCTACTGCACGTGGCGCCGCCGCCAGGAGAGAATGTGCAGCGCGATGCCGGCAGAGCCGGCTGGGCCCGGGCCGCGCGCGCCGCTCCTGGGGCTCGAGGCCGCCGCACCGCTCCGGGCCGCCCGCTGCGCCCGCTGCTGCCGCCGCCACTACCGAGTCGGGCTCGGCGCTCGGCGCGGCGCCGTCACGTGTGAGGCTCGCCGCGGCGTCCCCTTCGCGCACTTTCTCCGCTCGACCGCGTCGGCGGCTCTCTGGCCCCTCCCCCGCCGAGGGATGGGGAAGTCAAGGCAGAGAGCGTCCGCGAGGTGCGTACCCTTTGCCGGGCACACCTCGTTATTACCACTGCGGGAAAGAAGAGTTACGCAGGGCTCGCTCGTTTTCCCTCGAGTTAGTTGCCTCATATACAGGGTCGTGTCGAGGTCGTCCTAAACCGTGGCAAGTCGCTCTTTCTGACCGCACAGCCCCCTACCTACTACACCAACACCTTTACCCCCCGCCCCCGCTGCCGCCATCTCCACCTCCAAGTAAGAGCCAAAAAAAGAAAATCACCTCTGCGAACACAATGGGCAAATTAGAATCCAGATGAACCCGCCCCATTGTGGAACACACATAGTTTCAATTACTCTGGGCACCAAAACTTATTTGAAGTGGCTACGGCCAAAAGCTACCCTTGACCGACACAAACTGCCCCCACCCGAGCACAATAAATATAAACTCTGCACAGAGGCAATAAAAGCAAGGGTCGGTACATCTGAGAAGGGATTGGCCAGACCTGGACACTTAATTATACACACGGCCCAGCACAATGGCGTGTTTGTGACCCTTCCAAAGGAGCCAAGCACGAAGCCGCTGTACCTCAGCAGTAAAACGGGAATATTAACCAGACCCTTAAGCCAGTAGGCAACACTGCTGTAAATCCTCTGCCCAAGGGTGTAGAGCTCGTCAGTGGTGGCAGGAGGGGACAGACTTCAAAGCTGGGAAGGGGGGTCATACTTTAAATTAACCCTAAATTTGGCTTGAAGATCCAGACTATTTTTTGAACCACAAGGGAATAAAACTGAGGCATACCCAGGGAAAATATTTTCTGCAGGTTTGTGGGAGCAGCCAAGGCCTATCTACTGCAGGCTTCCCTATTTCCTTTTATGTTTACCGTGCTCTGGACGCAGATCCTGCTTATTGATAAGATGAAAAACGAGGAGAGACTACTTTTATAGTTGCATACAAGCCCTTGGTTAAGGAGAGAGAAGGTGGCTCAATTCAATTCCCCAAAAATGTGCCTCAGCCCTCCGCAAACCACAGTAGCTTGATTCCTACTCCTGCTCATCCTACCATTTTCCAATTAACCGAGCCCCCTTCCCCTGCCCAGCACCACCCAGAACCTGCCAAAGGAGAACAGCCAGCGACTCCTTACTCCCTGATCCAGCATTCTACTCCCCTACCCTACTCCATGCCAGACTTGCTGGGGACCTCAGCTCAGCTACTGCAAAGTGCCCCACTTCCCCTCACGCCTACTTTTCTCCCCCAGTCAGATCACAGCTTTCTGTCCATCACAACATAACTTCAGAACCACCAGGTTCTCCCCCCCCAAGCAAATGGCCCATCCTATAGGAAAGTCACTGAACCACTCTGCATCTAGACCAGCTGTGTCTTGTCAGTACCCTTACAGGAGATGAACCATCCAGTGGTCTCCTGGGACCAGCAGCAGAAAGCCATCTCCATCCCTGTTTAACCCCTGAGGGAAAATGAGGGGAACTTGGCTGGAGTCAGAACATCGTATACCCATTGCCACAGGCAAGGTCATCCAGGACAGGGGCTGACACTGAATTGTGCAATGTGTGTGGGTGCTCCTTCCAGTTTCAAAACTAGCTCTGGGTTGTAAACAAGTCACCCCTTCCTCCACCCTTCCAAAATAGCATCGAAGCTGGGATGGGGGATGTAAACAGAGGGGAGGAAGTACTCCCATTCCCCTTCACCCCAAGTTGCATGACGTCGCTCTTGATGCTGTCCGCCATCATGATGAAATAAATATGCATGATAATTTAATGCTAGAGGCATACCATTAAAACACCATTGCCGTTGAGTAATTCTGACTCATAGTAACCCTATAGGACAGAGTAATCTTTACAGAAGCATACTGCCACATCCTTCTCCCAGGAAGCAGCAGACCTTATCGGTTAGCAGCTGAGCCCTTAACCATTGCACCATCAGGGCTCCTATGGTAGACACAGATGTGGGTATAAAAAAGTCTTGAGCCTACAGCCAGACTTGACAGTAAACTGCCCTCCTGTGACCTACTGCCTGTCCTAGGCCATCCTAATCTAGGGCTAGAGATGAGGCTAGAGAAAAGCCACACAGAGGTCACGGTGTCCCACATTTTTACCCGGATGGAATCAGGTTTTAAATAACAATAGGGACACAGATGGCTTCACTGGAGAATTCTACAAAACATTTACAGAGGTACTTGTACCAGTACTACTCAAGTATTTCATAGAATAGAAGAGGAAGCAACACTTCCATATTCATTCTATGAAGCCAGCATAA